ATTTCCTTCAAAGCAGCTTCAACTTCTTCCTTCATCACTATAGGCTCTTGCTCATATGTTGTTTCATGAAATTCTTCTGTGTCTGCCAATTCCTTTCGATACAGTGACTCAGTGTATTCTTTCCATCTTCATTTAATACTTCCTGGATCATTTAATATTCAGCCTAAAGTATCGGGGTCCAGCCCATCATATTGAAACAATTCTGCCAAGAGAAGGGACCAGGTTGAAATGAAGACATGGAGAGGCTATGCTGATTGCAAATAGAGAAATTTACTATTTCAGAGAGGGTTTATATATGTCTTAGGAACTAGCCTGCAGGGGTAATCGCATTATCTCTTATCTGTCTGAGATGTTGACTGGTAGATCAAATATTCCCGGACCTCAACACAAAACAAGCATATCCTGTAATATGTTTTGAAAAACAAGAAGTAAAAAGGTATCACATTCCTAGAATTCTGAGACCTTTGGTCATTCCCTATTCATTAGCATACTGCTTCCTTGGGTTGTTTACTGTAAAGCAGATGGTCAAGTCAAGATGGGTGGTCCTGCTGGTTTTGCAATGCATTGCTAATCCTGCTTTGCAGGTTAGCCAGGTCCTGACACTAAAGCGTCCTTGATTATAGCAACTTGAGGTTTGAATTTGTTTTTCAGTTCCTTGAGCTTAAGAAATGCTGAGCGAGTTCGGCCCTTTCCATTTTCTGACTCCAACTCCTTGTACATTTCTTGGAGTAGTTAAGATTTTATAAAGCAGGCAATAGCCTGAATACTTATTTCAATAGTTCTTTGAGAATTCTCATACCATATTCATAATGAAATAGCAAAATAAAAGTATGATAAATGAGACTCATTAAAAGAAAGCAAGCAAGCAAGCATTGAGATATTCCCCCACTTCCAGCTCCCTTCACCCTCTCCTTCCCTCTTTGGACTATTGTACATGTCTTAGTAGTAATCTTTCTATTTTTACAGTAATGGTTTTATGCAGTATTTGTCCTTATGAGATTGAGTGAGTTCACTCTGCATAATGCTCTCCAGCATCTCCTGTTATAGCATTTTCAAAATTATTACCCCTGAATATTGCACAGTTTTCCATCATGTGACTGTACCATAGTTTCTCAGTCCATTTGTTGATAGATATTTGGGCCATTTCCATTTTTTTGGCAGTGGGAGGGAATGAAGGAATTAGAAACAATCCAGTGGGAACCTGAACAGGCAAGGCAATGGTTGTTGTTGTTATGTGCCATCAAGTCACCTGTAATTCATAA